CATCGCGAAGGGTTCTTCCGTGCGGAGCCCTTGGACAAGTTACATAGAGCCAAGTGACATAGAGCCAAGTTACATAGAGCCAAGTTACATAGAGCCAAGTTACATAGAGCCAAGTTACATAGAGCCAAGTTACATAGAGCCAAGTTACATAGAGCCAAGTTACATAGAGCCAAGTTACATAGAGCCAAGTTACATAGAGCCAAGTTACATAGAGCCAAGTTACATAGAGCCAAGTTACATAGAGCCAAGTTACATAGAGCCAAGTTACATAGAGCCAAGTTACATAGAGCCAAGTTACATAGAGCCAAGTTACATAGAGCCAAGTTACATAGAGCCAAGTTACATAGAGCCAAGTTACATAGAGCCAAGTTACATAGAGCCAAGTTACATAGAGCCAAGTTACATAGATCCAAGGTTAGGTAGAGCTTAGAGCTTCGGCGTTAGCAGCTATGTAAGTTAGTTTAGGTTTCTAAGGCGCCGGGGCGGGAGTTTGATCGTCGCTCGGGATTGCGACCCTCTGCGGAGATTCGCGTGGTCGAGGTTCAAAAACTGACGACTTTTTACGATTTTTAGCATGCGTGCGCGACCCTCTGCGGAGATTCGCGTGGTCGAGGTTCAAAAACTGCAGACTTTTTACGATTTTTAGCATGCGCGCGCGACCTCTGCGGAGATTCGCGTGGTCGAGGTTCAAAATCTGGGGACTTTTTACGATTTTGAGCATGCGCGCGCGACCCTCTGCGGTCGAGGTTCAAAAACTGAGACTTTTTACGATTTTTAGCATGCGCGCGCGACCCTCTGCGGAGATCGCGTGGTCGAGGTTAAAAAACTGCGACTTTTTACGATTTCTGCGGTGCGCGCGCGACCCTCTGCGGAGATTCGCGTGGTCGAGGTTCAAAAACTGGGGTCTTTTTACGATTTCTGCGGTGCGCGCGCGACCCTCTGCGGAGATCGTGCGCGTCGAAGCGCTCTCGCTGTGGCGCCGTGCGAATTTGTCTTAGTCTCGGCGAACCCTCTGCGGAGATTGTGCGTGTCGAAGCGCTCTCGCTGTGGCGCCGTGCAATATTCTTGCCCGCGAAACGGCCTTTGGAAGTTGTCTCGGGGTTTGCGCGCCTGCTTTCGCAATCCCTGCGGTCGCGGGTTCGATTCCCCCCTGGTCCGCGGCAGCTCCGGCTTGAAAATCGCAGCTTTTAAGTACAAACGTAGTACGCGGAGCGTGCTCCTGCAGCTCCGGCTGGAAAATCGTAACTTTTAAGTACAGACGTAGTGTGCGGAGCGTGCTCCCGCAGCTCAGGCTGGAAAATCGCAACTTTTAAGTACAAACGTAGTACGCGGAGCACACCCCCGCAGCTCCGGCTTGAAAATCGCACTTTTAAGTACAAACGTAGTACGCGGAGCGTGCTCCTGCAGCTCCGGGTGGAAAATCGCAATTTTTAAGTACAGACGTAGTACGCGGAGCACATTCCCGCAGCTCCGGCTGGAAATCGCAACTTTTAAGTACAAACGTAGTACGCGGAGCACACCCCCGCAGCTCCGGCTGGAGAATCGCAACTTTTAAGTACAAACGTAGTACGCGGAGCACACCCCCACAGCTCCGGCAGCACTTGCGCAGAGCAACTTGCGCAGAGTCACTTGCGCAGAGCAACTTGCGCAGAGCAACTTGCACAGAGCAATTGCACAAAGCACTTGCGCAGAGCAACTTGCACAGACCAACTTGCACAGAGCACATGCGCAAAGCTCTTGCACGGAGCAACTGGCGCAGAGCCCTTGCGCAGAGCAACTTGCTCAGAGCACTTGCGCAGAGCAACTTGCACAGACCAACTTGCGCAGAGCACATGCGCAAAGCACTTGCGCGGAGCAACTGGCGCAGAGCACTTGCGCAGAGCAACTTGCTCAGAGCACTTGCGCAGAGCAACTTGCACAGAGCACTTGCGCGCAGCAGCTTGCAGAGAGCAACTTGTGCGCAGCAGCCTGGAACAATGAAGCTTGCGCAGACCACTTTCGTGAGAAATCGCGCGGCGCAGTTCGAGAGGAAAGTAGGATGATGAGATGGAGCTCTCATGTGACCATACACACTGAGCATCGCCGCGCGCAGACACGCTCGCCGCAGCGATGTAGAAAGGTGTCTCCGCAGCTGGATGAGCACCTGTGGAAAAATAAATGCTTTCGGGCCAATCGTCCTCTAGTTGATTTATCTATCTATCTATCTATGTGTTTACTGCTGCGCCTGCCACGAAACCTGCGCTTGACCTTGCGAAAGTGCTGCGCCTGCCACGAAGTCTGCACCTCGGCTCGCCAAAGCGCTTCGCCTGCGACGCGAAGCTAACCTTGCCAGAAGCGCGCGCGTCCGCGCCAGTGGGCCCGGGTCCGAACCCGTTCCGCGCCCGTCCCGAGCCCGTCCCAGACTTTCGTCCGTCCGTCGAAACACGCCGGAGATGCCACTCTGATCGTGATTTCTATTTGCCCTTTTTTTGCCTGCGTTCGCGCACGGAAGCTCCCTTCTAAGCTTCCTTGGACTACGTGAAGGCGAACAGCGAAAGTGTGGAACCGTTTACGATGGACGCTGGCTGTCTCACTGTTAACAACATTAGCGCCAGCTGTGGGAGGCATGAGCCCAGTCACGCCAACTGATCTGCGGCGGTCTAAAACTTTGCTTGCCGGCTTGCCAAACAAGACATTTTTGCAACGATGCGTTGCTTCGCGCAAACCACAGCACCAGTCACATCTTGGCGTCATCTCTGACATAGCTGTCGTGGCCGGAGCGGACGTGGCGCGAATTTTGTTTGTAGAGCGTCGCCCCGGTCTGGCTGAGCGAGTCGATCGATTGGCAGCAGCTTCCGTGCAAAAATCGCGTCCAACGTCCTGCAGTTTAGATGGCGTGATGGGTGTTCACCCGCTGCAATTGGGATGCCAAGCTGCGCGCCTCTGGCTGCCAAGCGACGCTGCGACGCATAGGTTCAGCGAACCTGCGCGCTATCCGCAAGCCATGGATACGCAGTCTTTGCGCGGCCATGCTCGTCAGAGATTGACATTTGGCCATGACGGTTCCAAACGTCTCAGGCAGCTTCAGCCACGACTCTACCGCAGCACAGCCGAGACGCTTGGATCCTTCTTCGAAACATCGCCTGGGCCCTTCTCTACTTGGATTCGGATGGGTGGTGTACTTGTTATGTAGTTGGCGAACTTAAGCGATTTGCTAATCCACTTGCAAGTTGCCTAACTTGAGTTAGTAAGTCAGCTGAGTCTGACTTAGGGGACTTACAACCTGGCTAAGTCCACTTGGTGAGATAGAGGACTTTGCTAACTACTCAGAACTGCTCAGCATCTACTTAGCTAAGTCCTCTAACTCGCCTAGTGGACTTAGCCAGGTTGTAAGTCCGCTAAGCCAGACTTAGCGGACTCGGCAACTTGCAAGTAGCTTAACAAATCGCCTAAGTTCGCCAATTACATTGCAAGTAGGCCGCCCATCCAAGTAACGTCATGAAGCCCAGCGGCGCCACCAAGAACGCGCCTGGAAACGTGTTAAATTTGCTCTGATGTTCTGGGTCATTTTCTTTTGAGGCGACGAGGCGTGTTTCATGGCGGATTAACGGAGCTGGCGCTTGTCTGGGAAGCTGGCCAATCTTTTGCGCTTGTTGAATGACGCTTATCTGACCCGTGTGATTTATTCAACCTGGACATGCGAACGTCAGTGGCAAATGTAGCAATGCTCTGTAAATGAGCCGCTGCGATCAAGACCAGAAAGTGACGTCGCAGCAGGGCCAAGTTCAGACCCCCAGGAAAATCACGCCTTTACTAGTGGAGCTTTGCATTCTTTGCGCGGCATCAACAGCTGGCAGCTTGCCATTGACAAAGGCTTGGCAGCAGAGCGCTGCCCTTCCGAGGTGGGTGACTACTATTCATTAGCCACGCGCGCTACGAATTAGTTAAGAAGGGGGGGTGACGGGGCGCGCTGCTGGATTGATTTCTCGACTGCATTGTTGCAGGCTCGGGATCCATCAGCCTCCCAAAGCCGGTAGGCCGCAAATTCCTGCGCAATCTGCGCAGCAAGTTGCATGCTTCCGCTGCCTCAATCCTGCAGTCAATTTTCCGTGAAGTTTCGCTGTTTGTACTTGTTGTGGATTGGCACATCTGGCGCTTGAGCAACGCTTCTCATACCACTCGACGCTTAATTGCCAGATGCGCCAGTGGTGGGCGCAGCCGGCATCCGCACTCCTGTGTTCCTCTGCAGTACGCACGTCGCCTCCTGTGGCATGAGAATGCATGAGTTGGTTTCAGCTGCGTGTGGCAGGCCATGCGACACCAAGCGTGTTGCGCGACACTTGCGATAGAGACGGGAGAGGAGAGCAGAGAGCCGACAAACAAGACACGAAGGCCTTGAAGAGAGCCTCATCCACGTTGCCTCTTCTGCGCTCCTCTAGTATAAATTAACGTGTGCAGTGTGTGTCTGCCTGTCTGTGTGTATGTTTGAATGAAACGTATGTTTGTGTGTGACTGTTTTGCATGTACGTATGTGCGTACGTATGCGTGTAATTGCGTAATGTGTGTCATGTGTGTCATGTCATGAAATAGTGTACTGTGTGTGTGCATGTGTAATGTAGTGTTGTGTGAAGCAATATTTTGCAACTTAATGTAGGACAATGTGATGCGATCCGCATGGTTTGCGAATCTGGTGCAATAAAATGTTTGTATGGATGTAATGTGTCAAAGTCTGATTGTTGTGTCTGCATGAGTTTTAATCTTCATTTGGTTTGCTAACATGTTGTAGCCCGTGAAAGTTGTGGGTCGCTAGTACCAAAAATATGGGCGCCGCGCCTGCTTGAAATCTTCTATTGGTCTCTTTCGGTTTCTTGGCACGTGTCCCTTGTTCAGCACGCTCTGCTACAGAACCACTATGAAGTTGCCCTATTTGGGCGTTATTTTTTTGAGGGCGCAACAATAACACCTTTTCGGGGCCCCCTATTTTGGCACATAACACCTGTTTTTGCACCTTTCCGAGCTGCGTCTGCGTCGGAGTTTCCGACGTTCTGCGCCAGAGGCGCGACCGCCCGCTGGGGCACACCGCGGGCAATATGGAGGTTCCTTCGTTCGGGCCCGATGCCAGGCAAACTAAAGGGCGCCCTTTTTTTCGCACCCAGCATGACCAGCCTCACTTGAAGGGTTGCCTATTGGCTCTGGCTGGGTGGGCTTAGGGTTTTGGGTGGGTTCGCTAAACCGCACCTGACACAAATCAGCTAGCCCAAACCCACTCAAAGTCAACCCTAAGCCCGAACCCAAGACCTACCCTCACTAAGATCTAAGCCAACAGGCAACGAGCCTAGGTCCAAGTGAGGCTGGCAATGTGGGGGATGCGGCCAACCAGGAAAAACAACGTTATCCACCAAGTCAATGTGTAAACACATGTAAAAAAGAAAACATGGCATCAACGGCGTTGGCTAAAAAAGTAACTCAAACGCTGGCACCTGGAAAGCTCGAATTTGCTCATGTAGTTTTGCCTTGGAGAACGGGAGCCCTTTGGCTTCCCTGTCAAGCACTCCCGAAACGGGCCGCCTCGAAAAATACACCCAACTTGCGCGCTGGTTCGTCTCCCCGAGAGCTGGGGCCGAAATCACCGGAGAGACGGTGTCCGTCGCTTCCATGCAACATACCTCTGTAGAACAACAAAGCCAGCGGCATCCGTCCAAAAAGCACTCCGTCATGCAAATCGCACGCCATTGTCAGCTTTGTCCTCCACATTTCTTCTGCCTCCGCATCCTTCGGGAACATGCGACGCTCTCCAACCCGCGCGCAGCAGCAAGACACACTACTACTCGAGTCCATGCTTGCTCTATCTTTCCAACAACAAACCATGAAGTCGAAGAAGATTGTCCGTTTAGCAGTCGATCAATTCCATGTCAGTGAAGGCAGTGTCAAGCCCTGAACGAGCCCTAAACTTGATCAAGCAAAACATTCAGGGCTGAGTAACTGGAGAGAAAAAATCCCCCTTCCAAAGCCTCAGCGATCCCCCAGGTCTTGCCAAGTCCTTGCTTCTTGGTTTCTCTGTTCCGAATCGAAAACTCCATCCTCGGTCGCAGGCTCGCTCTCGCCTGAACAACAGGCCCGGACAGGTCATGGTTAGTTTTTCAGAAAAACCCAGTCATGTTCTCGCCTCAAAACGTGCTTTCAGGATTTGGCACTGTGGCTACAGAAAAGCGCAAAAACTGGCCCCTGTCCCCTTTGATCCCTGTCACAAGTTTAAGATCAACCTTCCCCCGGCGCCTTCGCACTGCAACCGTGCGTCTGGGCTGGTTGGCCTGGTGAGCTTCTAAGCTTGCACGCCGCCTTAGGGGTCCAGTTCCCATAACACCCAACTGGTCCAAAAGCGTACGTCGGCTGCTCTCATGACCCAGCTTCAACCCCGCGGGCCAAGAACACATTTTCACAAAGATCCTTTTTGGGAGGCCGAAACCTGTCGAACCAAAAAAGCAGCGTGGCCCTTGACATGAAGAACATTTGCCGTCTTTTCGCGACACGCACGCGCACACTCACAGCCTGCAACCGCCATCCTAAACCTGATTGAACCACACGTTCTGCTGCCGATCCCTGGGAAACAAGGGGAGTGGAACACGTTTTCCAGCCTGTTGCGTTCACAGTTAGAGTTCGCCTTTGAAGCATCCAGCCTGGATAATGCCCTGGATGAGGCAGGAGAACATGGCCGAAAGCCCCTGCAATGCCCAACTGTAGAGCACATGCGGTAACAAAGAACTACGGCTGTTGCGGAAACTACACGTGCAGTTTTCGGTCTGCTAAAGCAATCCCGCAAAAGAGTGCGTCCTGCTATCAGAAGAATTGGATTTTTGCTGTCCATGAATGAGCAGTATTTGCTTCCCATATTCCCACGAATACAAGTGGAGGGCGCACAAGGCGTGCGAATCATGTCTCGGGCCTCCCCAACACTTCCCGTGCCGCCCTGCAGCCCCTAAGCCCCCAAAGCCAAAAACCAGTCAGGAAAGGGGCTTTCCCTTTTGAAGTCTGCGCACGAAGCTTTTAATTTTCCCAAGATATGTGCTTCTTCAAAAATGCATCTTGATGTCCAAAGTTTGTTTACAATACCAAGGTCCAAAGCGCTCAAGCTGACAAAGGGAAACCATCCTCGGAGGCCAGGCCCCCTCATTAACAGAAACACCCGCGAGATTATAACCATCTACGGAAAGATATAAAAAAAATCGACCGTCTGGAAAACGATTCCCGCGACAAGATAGCAAAGTTTGAAAACAATCCCTCGTAGACTACTTTAGTATTGCGAGTCTCCTAGCTGAAAAAATGATCCCTTGGGATGCAAAAAAAGGTTTCTATCTTTCCGCGCAGAGTATTAACCCTCTGCAGAAATGTCTTGTCCCGCAGAAAGGGAGAAACTCTCCGGTCGCGGAAGGTCTGGAAAAGTGCGTGCCTCCCAAATGCGAAACGTGACTTCCGGGCCCAAACTTTTCCAGACCTTCCGCGGCCCGAGAGTTTCTATCTTTCCGCGGGCCCGACAAAACCTGAAGGCTGATTCCGTTTTCGCACGAATATTAAATTAAGTAGTGGCAAGCGAAACTAAATCAAGTACTGGCAATACTAGATTTAATACTGGCAATACTAAATTTAGCGCTGGCAATACTGCTACATAGCGGCGGTACTAAAATATTAAGTGGCAACACACAATCTAGTATTGGCAATACTTCACTTAGTACCCGCAAAACTAAATGTAACACTGGCAACACTACATTCACTGGCCATACGAAATTTAGAATTGGCAACATCAAATTTAGGTAATGCCGCTGCCAAAATTTGGCACCGGCAGCCGGCAATGCTTCGGACTCGCGTTCCAGCCGCGCAACTTCAAAGTTTCTATCTTTGCGCTGGCACGCGTTTGGCCTGGGCTGCTCAGGAAGCTCTTCAAAACAAATTATATCTTTGCGCAAGCCTGGCCACACGCACGCCAGCGCAAAGATAGAAACTTTGAAGTTGAACGCGGTCTGGAAAGCAAGTCCTCCGAAGTGTTCCACACCACACATAACCAACCCAGAACTAACCCTAAGCCGCAGCCTAAATCAAACAAACTAAGCCGACCCTAAACCAGCACCAAGCCAACCCTAAACCCACCCCAAACCCACCCAACACTAACTCCAAACTCAACCGCAATCCCACCACACCTTAAGCGAGCCTAAGCCAACAATAAACCCACCCTAACCCACCTACCCATCCCAAACCAACACAAAAAAGAGGATGGTTAAAAGAGAAGGGGGGGTTAACAAAAGACGGGGAGAGGGTTACATAGAAAGGGTGAAGGGTTGAAAAAAACCAGGGAAAGGTTGAACAAATGTTTGGAGGGTGAAAAAATGGTTCCCCTGTTCTTTCTGACATAAGTATTGAATTTCATGCCCTATACATTCCCTTTGCATTTCCTTGTCATTTGTGTCCTGTTGTCTTTCCATGTCCTCTCTCATCATATTCGCTTTCTGCCTGTTCATGTTTGTGTCCTTCCAGTTTCTTCCGCTTCCATTTCCTTTCCATGCCTTCGCATTTCTTTTCCACTCCTTTCCGGGCGCTTGTTCATTTGCTTCCAATGTTCTTCACCGTGCACCCACTCTCTTTCCATTGCCTTTACACTTTTTGTCCAGCCCGTTGAATTTGTTGTCCAAGGATCTTCCATCTTCCATTTTCCCCTATATATTCCTTCCATGTCTTTGTGCTGCTTTCCGTTCCAAGCTAGAATTCTCCAAGGCGGCAAAACCGTCAAAGGCTTGCTTGCGCCCTTGGGTTCCTTCGGGGCAGCGGACACTTCGTTGGCCGCAAAAACAAGGATGACCTTGCCAACAATCGGTCTTCCCACTATGGGCGCTTCCTTTTGCGACATCCTGCCAGCAAATTGAAGTCTCGGGAAAAGGCAGCGGCTTTCCAAACGCTTGAGCGTCACCTGAAGCAAGTCGATCACAATATCTTCCACTGGCTGGAGAAGCTTTGGGTCAAGGCAGGTCAAATTACCCGTTTCCTTCAATGTCTCTCGGAACCGTGAAGGATCCAGTGTTGGGTGGGGCTTGACAGGATTTTGAAGGAAGCCCCTGTTGGGCCCCTTAGTCTTGGGCAGCCCTGAAAAGAAGTCCTAATGTTAGCAGGAACAATGCCAGAAATAATCACCACCGCTGCGATAGCGGATTGTTGCGTTTCCTTCGAACTCAACCACGCGAGCTTCATTTTAAGTTTGAGCCGGCAATCCCTACCAACATTTCGCGCGGCTTCCATTTGCAAGTGTTTAACGGTTCTTGCCAAATCTTGGACGCTAAGACAGCAATTCGTAGAATAATTGTGATCAGTAAAGCCTGATTCTGCACCCTTCGGCCCTCGTCCTTTTGCTTTTGGCCCTTCCCCGCCAAGTGAACGGAAACAGGGACCTGGAGAACTTCTTCGCTCCTTGAAGTATTGGAAACTTTTAAACAGACCCTGATTATAACCATCCTCGGAAAGATAGAAACTTTTTCCCAGATCTGGCACCCCGACAAAAAAGGGGTCGAAACGGAAAGATAGAATTCCTCCCGCGAAAAGATAGCAACTCTCCCGTCGCGGAAGGTCTGGAAAGAATTTGGCCCGTAAGTCAGATTTTATTTTTCAGAGGCGCAACATTTTCCAGACCTTCCGCGGCCGGAGAGTTTCTATCGTTCTGCGGGGACGCCGAAACCTGCAGAGGGTTGATTCCGTTTTCACCCAAATACTAAATCACGTAGCGGCAATATTAAACTTAGTACTGGCAACACCAGATTCAGCACTGGGAAATTTCAATTTAATACTGGCGAAACTAAATTTGCACTGGCAATACTAGACTGGCAGTCAATTTAGTACTGGGGACACACAATTACGCAGTAGCAGTCTTGAATTTAGCACAAGCAATACTAATTTTACTGGCAATCCTCAATTTAGTACTGGCAAGAAAATAGTTTGACTTTCCGGGCCATCAGTCGTAGCAAAAGTTTCTATCTTTCCGAAAGGCCAGAAAAGCACTGGGCTTGCACAAAGATAGAAACTTTTCTTGCGCGGGACCCAGACATCTGCAGAGGGGTGATTGTGGACTCGAAGCTCAAAATCTGGCAGTACTAAATTTAGCACTGGCAATGTTAAACTAAATGGTGCAATACAGAGATTTAACACAGGCGCGCAAATACTATGCCTTTTCCGCGCCAGGAGCCGTAGCAAAAAGTTTTTATCGTGCCGCAAGGCCTGAAAAACACGGGGCACGCACAAAGATAGAAACTTTTGACTGGAGAGTTGCTATCTTTCCGCCACCAAAACCTGCAGAGCGCTGATTCCGTTTTCGCAGGAATAGTAAATTATGTAGTAGCAGTACAAAATTTAGTACTGGCAATACTAAGTTTAGTACCGGCATTACTAGATTTTGTATTTGCAAAATTTAATCTAGTACTGGGGACACGCAATTAAGTACTAGCAATTTGAAATTTCGTACGGGCTTCGATTTAGTACTGGCAAGCAAATCCGCCGACCACTTTCTCCAAAGGGGAGGCGCATGGGAAGGGTTTGTCTTTGCCCTTGTCTTAGTGATTATTGTCATGAAATGCAGAGGATGCGTTGTCATGATTGTCACGATAACTGCTGCTGATGCTGGGGATGCAAAGCTGCTGGTGATGCTGAGGATGCGTATGATGATGAACATGAGAATGATGATGATGATGAAAATGATGATGGTGATGATGATGATGATGAACATGATGATGAAAATGATGATGGTGGTTTTCATCATCATCATGTTCATCATCATCGTAATCATCATCATCATCACCATTTGCATCATAATGTTCCTCGTGCTGTTCATCATCAAAACCGCGGCGCTCTTCTTTTTCATGTACATTTCAAGCCGACTGGAAATGCAGAGGATGCGTTGTCATGATTGTCATGAGCAGCAGTTATCATGACAATCATGACAAGGCATCCAATGCGTTTCGGCACACTTGAAACGTACATGAAATGTTGGCGATGTGAAGAACATGACGATGAAAATGATGATGTGATGATGGTGAACATGAGGATGATGATGGTGATGGATGAACATGAACATGATGATGAAAATGATGATGATGACGAAGATGGTGATGAACATGATGATGATGATGAACACCACCATCATCATTTTCATCATCATGTTCATCATCGTCATCATTTTCACAAGGCTGGGGCATCATAATCATCATCATCATGTTTCATCACCATCATTTGCATCATGATGTTCTGGTCATGATGATGTTTGAAACGTGTAGGGGGAAGAAGAGCGCCACGGTTTTGATGATGCGCATGATGAGGAGCATGATGATGCAAGTGATGATGATGATGAAGATGATGATGATTATTATTAACATGATGATGAAAATCATGATGATGATGACGATGAACATGATGCTGATGATGAACACCACCATCATCACTTCCATCATCATACTCATCATAATCATCCTCATCATCCTCATTCATCATCATGTTCATCATCATGTTAAAGTGTGCCGTTAGACCCGGCTGGAAATGCAGAGGACGCGTTGTCATGATTGCCATGACAACTGCTGCTGATGCTGGGGATGCATAGTGATGACGTTAATTGCTGGCGATGCTGAGGATGCGAAGTGATAATTATGCTCTGACAATGAACATGATGATGATGATCATGATGAACATGATGGTGGTGTTCATCACCATCATCGTGTTCATCATCATGTTCCTCATCATGTTCATCATCAGAACCGTGGTGCTCTTCTTTTTCATGTACGTTTCAAGTGTGCCGTTAGATCCGACTGGAAATGCAGAGGATGCGTTGTCATGGTTGTCATGATAACTGCTAATGCTGGAGGATGCATAGTGATGACGTTCTCTGCTGGCAATGCTGAGGGTGCGTAGTAATGATCATCATCAGGATGATGATGATGATGATGAACATGATGATGGTCACGGCGATGATGACGAGGACGATGAACATGATGATGGAAATGATGATGATGATCATGATGATGAACACGACGATAATGATATGATTATATGATGAAAGTAGTGATGGTGGCGGTCATCATCATCATCATCATTTGCATCAGGCGCTCTTCTTTTTTCATACGCGTTTCAAGTGTGCCGTTAGGGATGCAATCAGATGGTGATGGTGATGATGATCATGATGATGATGAACTACGCACCCCCGGCATCAGCAGCATTTATTATGACAATCATGACTACGCGTCCCCCTGCATCTCAAGTCAGCTCTAACGGCACAATTGAAATGTATGTGAAAAAGAAGAGCGCCACGGTTTTGATGATGAACACGATGAGGGACATGAGGATGAACATGACGATGGACATGATGATGATGATGAACATGAAAATAATGATGAACATGATGATGGTGATGATGATGGCGATGATGGTTCAACGTCATCACGATGCATCCCCAGCGTCAGCAGCAGTTGTCATGACAATCATGACAACGCATCCTCTGCATTTCCAGTCGGAGCAATGCATCGCAGTCTGGAGAAGAAAAAAGAGGCCCCGAACATGATTTTCCTGCGAGTTTCCACACACCCGGGGCACTTCTCGTAAAATTCAACAAGGTGCTTCTTATCATGCGAATTTATCCCGCAGTGGCTTGTTTGAGATGCAGGGAATGCGTCGTCATAATTATCAGAACAACTGCTGGCGATCATGCGAATGCATAGTAATAATTATCAGCATCCCTAATGTTGGGTAAAAAATTGAATCATCAAAAACATCATCATTATCCTGCTGCTCTTCCTTTTTCATATATGCTTTAAGTGTGCCGTTACACCCGACAAAAATTGCGTAGTCATAATTGTCATAACAACGTCCCCTGTCAGCAAGCAGGTTCACATTTTCATCATTGTGTTCACCATCATCTTCTCATCAGCTAGGTAGGAAGCCGACTGAGGTCTTGGAAAAACATCATTCTCCAAAATAACTACGCAAACTAGTTAGGATAATTAAACTCATTTGGAACTGCGCTTGCTTTTACCAAATCATCTTAACTATCATAAATAACGAAGGCAATTTGCAAATCCGAGCGCGGAATTGTCCTATCTAATCTAGTTAATTAGGATAGTTTTGATATTTAGGAAAATTAGGAAATGTTTACCAAAAGACCTTGGAGATGCATGGCCTAAGCTGGCAGGCTCGACCCCGAGTCAGAACCATTCTCATCATAATAGGGATGAACACAGGAAGAGGATAATTTAGGATAACTACTACGCGCTCGATTTGGCAAACTACCCTCACTAACTAGCGCTTGAGTTTCGCAATTATGCCCATCATTTGGACAGTTCAGTTTACCTAGTTATCCGAACCACGTTACTCGCCACGTAGAGCAGCAACGACCCTCATACAGGGAGGAAATCAAGAAGACCCCTGGGGTTGCTGGCAGCTCCCAGCAGTCGACAACTTAACCTTGGCGTCTTTGCCATGGCAATTGTGGGTGGGGCCGCTGAGCAATCGATTTCTCAAGGCTCAGAGCCGCATCCACCACACCCCGCGAAAGAATATTACATCAGCCGCTTGTGCCGATGGCTTTTCGCGAAGTCACCTCCACGCTGTCAAAGGACACCAAACCCCAGACAGCGCTAACCAAGCAATTGCCAGGCTGCGTTGGCTGTTTGATTCATGTCGTTTGTGTTGGTAGTTTGGACGGGGGCCGCTTTCTCCATGGAGTTGCTGCGTTGGAGGGGCCGCTCGTTCGATTTAGTTTGGGTTGGTTGTGTGGAGGGCCGCTTTTTCCAGATGTGCGAGTTTCATTTAGCTTGGGTTGGTAGATTGGACGGGCCTTATTTTGTCTGACTTGGGGAAACGCAAAATTGGGTCGTAAAGCCCTTCAATCAAACCTGACAAGGTCAACATCCAGGGTACAGCAGGCACACGGGCGCGAGCCTGGCTGGCCGAAGGCCTGTGCAAATTACAAATCCAGCGCTACTAATTTTGGCGCGCTGCCCTCAAAGCCACAGCGCACAAGAAGGGGGGGCCTTGGGCGAAGTGGGTGGTCTGTGGTCTGGCTGTTGCAGCCCATTGTCGCCTCTGAACACTTTCTCCGACAACGCCCTTGTTCTTGAACTTCCGGACACGCGTCTTGTGAACGGCCTCAGTTTCTTTCTGCCCTTCTGCCAAACAGTCAAAGAGGTGGTATCCCCAACAGCTGGGCGCTGAACTCAGACTTCAGTTCTTCACCCTACACTTGGCCTGCACCACACCACCCCCGCGAGCCTCCGGAACCTTCCTTGAACCTTACACCTCGCCACCTCCGGAACCTGCCTTGGACCTTACCCTGCTCTGCACAGACCATTCCCTCCGCAACCTTTCAGACCTGCCTTGAACCTTACACCTCAACTGCCAAACCTCCTTTGGAACCTGCCCTGAATCTTGCACCTAGCCTGCGCTGGCGCGAATGCCACAATGGGCCACTTTGCTGCGCGCCGCTATTGGTAGCGTTGGGTTGCTTGACCCGTCTGCTGGCACACTTGTTCCCATCGAGGGCAACCTGCTCACGGCTTACTATTCAGCTGGGGTTTCGGACTCGGAAAACCAACTTTTGACGGTCAAGTACGTGACTCAGCGCGCATTCCCTTTGAGCCATCATACTGTGTTGTAGACGACGCAAACTGCACGAACCACCCCTTGCAACTCAACAGTTTGGCACCACCAACTTTCATGCGCCCATCTTCTGAAGCATGCGTTTGATTGTTATGAATTGAACAAACCCAACTTGAGGAAAACAAAAGAAACCTCCTCAGCTTTAGCTTTGGGGGTCTCTCATGTTTCCCGAGACCACGCCTCACAGCTTGGCCTTGGGAGCGAGCGATGAGGCCCATCTGCTTCTTTGGGCAAACAAACCATTGGCGACCTCCAAAACAAGTCTCGGGCTGACGAGATGACACTGGTCCTGCCGTAGTAATGCAAAAAGACCCTGCGTTGTGAGCCGTGGGTTGCAACATTGGGAAATTCATTTCAAAAAATTTGAGGAACATGGCCTTTTCCAGGTCTTGGGGCTTTGACATTGCTTCCGCAGGGCAATTTTGAGGCGCCCTTCAGGATGTCTGTCTGATCGGTCAACTTCTTCCACTGTTGTAAGCCTGCCAAGAGAAAACAGGTGCGGAATCCTGCTCACACGCGTCGTTGAAAATGCTGGGGGCCGCGCTTGTGATCGGGCTGGGGCCTGGCATGGAGGTCCAAGTGTTTAGGCTGTTTAACTTGAACCAAGCACCATTGAGCGTAAGGCGTGAAGACACAATGATCCACATCAGAAACCCGCCCCGGATTTTCAATCATCCAATCAAGGCGTAATGTTCTTCGATGGCCAACAACCGAGCGAGACAATGAGACATAATAAACAGAGGCCACAGTGCGCCACCTTGTCGTACTTTCGCACCACTCGGCTCTCACGCGAACAAAATGAAGTAGGACATCACTGCGCGCGGCAGCGGTGCAGGAGAGACATGTTCATGAGCCAGCTGCGGCGGTTCAGAAGGGAGAAGAATGTCACCCAGCATAGGTCAATGACTCAGCCAGGGTCAAGGAACTTTGTCATTTTTGACACACCTGGTGCCTGATCGCGCGGGACCACGCAATGACCGCAGCGGAGGGGTTGTGGTGAGTACCAATTGGTGTTGCGCCAAGAAACCAATTTTCTTCATCATGGAGATTCCGCCTTAGCGCTGTTTCAGCCTGTGAACCATAGAGTGGCCAGGTGGTGTCAAAGAAAGGGTATTGAGCGCGCCCTTTCAGCAACTTGCAGCAAAATCCATCCGCTGCAAAAAACGGAGTGGCATCCACAAAGAAGGGCCTGGAAACAAAGCGCAGTTTTGCTCAGCGTGTGACCAGGTTGCCGTTTTGAGAAGGGTGCCAAGCTAAGACTACGGCAGCTGACGCGCAACCGTGTTCCCGCTATGGAGCGGGGACAACTTCAGCTATGTGGCATAAGCTGTGAGCACGAAATGGTCCATGGAGCACAAAGAAGGCCACATTTGGCCAATCCTCAACATGCGCACGTTGTCGTCCAACCATTGTTGCAGATGTGGCTCTCAGGTCCCCAGTCTTGGACCCTCTCTTTACTTCTTTCCCGGAAGCATCGCGAAGGGTTCTTCCGCTGGGTTCACTTGAGTTGTTCTCATGAGAGTCATTACAAGGTGTCATTGCAAGGAACCATCATCATGAAAGCCAAGTGCATGGAGCCAAGTGCAAGTTGCAAGTGCACGGAGTTAAGTGCAAGTTGCAAGTGCAAGGAGTCAAGTGAAAGTTGCAAGTGCATGGAGCCAAGTGCAAGGTGCAAGTGCGTGGAGCCAAGTGCAAGTTGCAAGTGCAAGGAGTCAAGTGCAAGTTGCAAGTGCAAGGAGTCAAGTGCAATTGACTTGCGAGGAGTTAAAATCTCTTCTTAGGGCGGCGGGGTAGCGCCGACGACACTCTACGAAAATCGACCCTCTGCGAGGATTGGCGAGGTTTTTTGCGATTTTGTTTTGGCCCGCGCGACCCTCTGCGGGGATCGGCGTGGTCGAGGTGCAAAAACTCGTTTTTTTGAAATATTGTTTTCGCTCGCGCGACCCTCTGCGGGGATCGGCGTGGTCGAGGTGCAAAAACTCGAGGTTTTTTGCGATATTGTTTGGGCCCGCGGGGATCGGCGTGGTCGAGGTGCTAAAACTCGTGGTTGTTTTGCAATTTGGTTTTGGCTCGCGCGACCCTCTGCGGGGATCGGCGTGGTCGAGGTGCAAAAACTCGAGGTTTTTTGCAATTTTGTTTTGGCTCGCGCGACCCTCTGCGGGGATCGGCGTGGTCGAGGTGCAAAAACTCGAGGTTTTTGGCGACTTTTGTTGTTCGAGCTGGTCCTCCGGAGTTGTCTCGTGGTTCGCGCGCCTGCTCCCGGGACCGGCGGGTCGCGGGTTGGATTCCCGCCTGGTCAAGCTGCGCGGAGCAACTTGCATAAAGCAACTTGTGCAGAGCAACTTGCGCAGAGCAAGTTGCACAGACCAGTTTGCGCAGAGCAATTTGCGCAGAGCACCTTGCACAGACCAGTTTGCGCAGAGCGCCTTGCCTAGAGCAACTTGCGCAGAGCAACTCACGCAGAGCAACTTGCACAGAGCAACTTGCACACAGCAGCTTGCACAGAGCAACTTGCAGGGAGCAACTTGCACGGAGTAATTTGCACAGAGCATCTTGCAGGGAGCCACCCCTAGCGGGCTGACGCGTGCTTTTCTTTCACTAATGAGCCAACAACAGGCCATGAGCCGCCTGGCGCTGTCTCGCGCTTGCTTCACGAACGCTTCTTGCTTTCGGGCCAACCGTGGTCTAGTTTACTTACTAAGCAGGTGCAATTAGAATGGAAGCGGTTACAACTGATCCCCAACCTGGTGCTCGCAAGCAATCAAAACGGCAAGTGGCAACCATTTCTGCTAGTACAATTGTCCCGGGCAAGCCAAATTTTGTTTAGTGGGGTTTGGGCTCTGCCCAAAGACGTGAGATCACTTTCTCTGGAGCTTTGCGCGAGCAACTTGAGACTTCTCGAGGCCTCCACGCCGCTTGCGACTCATTCCGTCGTCTTCCTCCATGATGCCTTCAGTCAGGGCCTCTGCCTCAGCCAAGCGCACTGCTGTCTGACAGGCGCCTTGCACTCAGTTCGAGGGCATGAAAAAGGAAAACAAAAAACCGCAAAGAAATGTAGTTGCTGTGTAGAAAAGTGCGACGTCAAACTCGTCTTGGCCAAGCCGTGAGGCAAGCCCCCGCCTCCAACCCCGACAGCCCGGGCAAACGCGCCAAAATCAAAACAACACCAGCTCTTCCTTCAATTGAAGAGACGGTCGGCTACGTGGCTCCGAGGACGTTCTAGGGGTAAATAATAATAGGTGAACGCTGTGCCCTTCCCACCTCCTCAATCACAAAAACAACAAATCAGACTTGAGCAGCCAATGACGTCGTTGGATGCTGGGCTGGGTATGTGTCACACACATAGCGCGCGGGCCCTGTGGCTGCACACCCCAGGCTCAAATAAGTCAAGCTACCACTCCAAAACCACCCAAAACGAAGGAAACAACAAAGCTGATGCCTCCGCAGGCTGCGTCGTGCCTTCCGGCATGTTTCTGAGATGTCCTCAGCTGCGAATCCCTTGCTCTTTGGGCATTTTTGAAGAACATCCAAGAAGAAACCAATCCACCGGGGTGGAGCGCTGACTTGGAAACAAACTGCATACTCTCAAAGGGACATGCCTCTAGGTGCCCGACCCACGCCCACCGAGGTGACCACAGCCACGTTCTCCTGGGTGATGCCGCGGATGGCGTGACCCCGAGGAGCATCCAGCTTGGTGTTTGGAAGCACCGTCCAGTCATAGTAGCCTGCGCAAGTCAGACCAAGGCGGGAGACAAGTGCGGAAGAGCCAAGGCGCCGGTAACCAACAAAGACCAATAGGCTATGTCGTTTACCTTTCTTAGCGTCTGTGACTTCGCTCCCCCGCTTGTCACTTCCTCCTCGTGACGCTTGTTCTGATGTCTCCCAAAAGGGCAAACCCAAATCACGGGCAGACACTAAGCTCTGCCATCGAGCGACCCTCAACTGCAGCATGCCTGGGCAATATCGAGTGATGGACTTGAAGTCTCCTGCAACCATCCGCGTTAAACTGAAACTTCCTCGCTGGATCTCCACTTGCTCAAAGCAGTATTTCCAATGAGCGATTGAAGCCAACAAAACAGACTCCTTGTGAGATAGAATTACATTCACCTGGGCATAGGGTTATATCACTTTCTCGTGACACTCGTTTGGAGGATGTGGAGTTTTCTTCGCGCCTATCTTGGAAGGGTTTCTACTTGCGTCCAAAGAAACAAACTGACAAACTCAATTAGTATGCTGTCCGGTCTTCCCCCCAACCGTTTCTCGAATATCAGAGCTCGGAGGTGGCACAAGATTTGATATTATACCCATCATGCTTGTTGGGTTTCTGCACGTGTCGTCTTCACACGCAGGAAATGTAGTACGAAGGTTGTAAGCCTTTGGAATCCACTTCATAATGCTGCCTCACACTACACTGATATTTGATTTTTCAAGGTTACCCCATCATGTTCCACTTGTCGAAGAAGCTGGAAGGAAACTGATAAAAAGGCATGGGCACCCGGCAGACCCGTACCTTTTGGCAGGGGCTGTGAAAGGCTTTCTCGGCAAGTGACAGTCTGGGAAGCATCCGCCAACATAAAAACCTAAGTCATCATGATGTTATCTCGCCAGATTAGCTCCAACCAGCGTGGCAGAAGAGCCGTGAAGCCCCAGCAACCGATTCAAGTTGGAGCGCCCATGCAGTTTTCCTGCGCAAACGTTGAGAACCTGTGTCAATGGAATGCAGCACTGACACCGTGAAGCGCTCCCGATTGCACAAGTTGACAAGTCTTCATCATTCAGAGCGAAATATCAGATCAGCAGACTGGTCAGCACAATGTCTTTGAGGAACATCAGCTTGAACATTACACATGTGCGACGCTGAAGACACAGTATCACGATCTCTTCCCAGACAGCTGAATGCTATAGCGGTTCTAACTGCAGGGTGCTGCTGCAAGGTGTTGCGCTGCAGGTCAAGACACAGAGTTGCGCAGGGTGCTGCTGCAGGCCGAAACTTGGTGCGCAGTGCTGCTGAAGGGTGAGGCTGCTGGCAAAGACGCAGGGCGCCGCTGCAAGGCAGGGCGTTGTTGCAGGGAGCTACTGCAGGCGGCGTCTCAGAGCTGCGCAGGGCGCTGTTGCAGAGCGCTGCTCAGAGTTGCGCGGGCGCCAATGTTGCAATACTGTCTACGCAGGCTTTGGCAAGCGAAGCGCCGGAGCATTCTGTTGCACAAATGATTTTGGCCGCCCTGCCAAATGCATGGCACGTGTGTTGCCGTATTGGAATGGGCATCTGTATTTCGTTGGCTGAACATTCTCATTGCCTGGGCTCTACGGTGGTCAAGGAGAACAAGTAAGATAACAGCTACCACAAAGTTCCCAAGCATGGCCACTCCTGCTGACAAGTTTCTGGCAGACTATGAAGGTGTTTGCGCCTTCTTAACAGCGGCAGTCCGAAGTGCTTGGCGCGGGCGCTGCCAAGGTGAGAAACGCAGGCCAAGTCTTTGGCCTTGAAGATCTGAGGTCTTTGCCTCACACCAGGCGAGGCGGCAAAGAATTGCAGGAGGCACGTGGACATCTGAGCAGAAGTCCACCCTGGCCTAGTATTCCACCCGGTCACTTCCAAGGGCGCATTTTCGCCAAAAGACCAGAAACACATTTGCGCAAGCGGCAGCCCGGATTTCACTCAAAGTCGGCTCGACCTCTGCTCAACCTTGCTCGACCTCCGCACGGCCTCGCTCGACCTTTTCTCGGCCTCCGCTCGACCTCGCTCGGCCGCCGCTCGATCTCGCTCGACCTCCGACCTCGGCTGGACTCCGCTCAACCTCCGCTCGACCTCCGCTCGGCCTCCGCTCGACTTCGCTCGACTTCGCTCGACCGCTCGGCCTTGGGCAAAAAACAACAAAACGGCCGGCGACCACCCGGAACCTAATACCCTGGCCATCAGTGTGGGCGCTTCCTTGGAAGGATTGCCAGCGAGAGCTGGCATTGGGCTGATCCTGCCCACGGAGCCGAGCATGGGTGTGATTGTGAGAACGATCACGACGCTCGGGCACGACGCGTTGCGGGATCCGACAAAGTTTCCTCGCAGCCGCCGCTGAGTTCATGATAAGAAATACGGGCATGATATGATCGTTCTAAATATCGTTGCCGCATTCGTATCGCTAACGATTATCATAGTAATTTGCACATCAGGAGTGATGTGCGTCTGACCGAACACCCGAGTGACCCGAAGCGGCTGCCACCGGCTTTGAAGGCCATCTACGGGCACGCACGACTAAAGCTGGTCCTGCAACATGGCTCGGCGCCGCTGCCAGGAGTGCCTTGGCAGTGAAGGGCAGCTGCAAAGCCAGCAGCAGCGGGACTCGGGCAGCGCGCTTGGCAACTTGGAGGAACGGGCTGCGCTGCCGCCCGCTGCTGCAAGGCAGCCGCAGGTGAGCATTCCTGTCTCCCAGCTGCTTCCCACCAGAGACTGCTTCGCCGCCAACAGCTTCACTGGCGACAGCAAGCAAGTCTACACCGGCCTTGCAGAATGGTGAGCCCGTACACCAGAGGAGCAGGCGGACCTCATGCTGCAAGCTTTCCAAAACCGCTCGGCGCCTGAGGAAAAGCAGGCGGGCAAAACGGCCGCTGCTGCCAAGCCAAAGGCCAAGGAGAAGGGGAAGGCAAAGGCCAACGAAGCTGGATGAAACTCCAAATGCTCTACGCGAAGCCCCTGCACTTCTTGCAGCCTTCCGGCCGGAGAAGCGGGCGCTTGGGCAAGGCCGTCGCCTTATAGCGCGTCAGCTTTCCTCCTGGGACAACCCTGCAACAGTAGGATCCTTGCAAAGCTTCGCCTTCGCGGATGGCTTCGTCCGTGACGTTGACGGCTTAGACTTGGCACGTGCCTTTGAGGGCTGCGGGTTGCTGGTCGTGGCCTCAATCAAGCCTACCGTGCCCAGTTTGTTGGGTCGGGGAAAAAGCTTGGCGCTCAATGAGTGAACACTGCGTTGTGCGCCTGTGCATTTTGCAGGAGAGAGATTGACTGCACGCGTAGTTTTCCTGAGATATGGACTTGCCATTTACCTTAGCATAGCATGCAGTCCCCCGACAAACAATTTAAACGCCCCAAGCGTGGGACGTACAACTTTTGCCACGCGCTGCATCAGCGAGGGCGGTCGCCCGTGATCTTGCGCGCAGGCAGGACCTGCTGGCACAGGCGCGGTCAACTCCGCCGCTCCAAGCTGATGTCATTATTTGGGACGAGGCATGGCTCCAAAGACGGGTGAGGGATCTCAATAAAACTTTTTAGCATCAAAAAAACGTATTCCTGAAGATCGCAAAAATAGGGGTCAAACAAATTCCTCGTTTCGATTTCCGACCAAAATGAAAACCCAGAGGATCAAAAAACTTGTCAGGGATCAAAAACAGCTTCATTTCGTGGCATGCGCAGCACTTTCGCAACACAGATGTTTCTGTCCATTGGTGAAACGTGCTCGGGAGCAGCACTTGGAGAGCCTTGCCGGGCTGCCTGGCCCATTGATGAAGCAGGAGGACGCGCAGTCAAGGTCTGGTATATTGACCCCGTGGCCATGCTGCGTTTCAGGCCTGGCTGAGGGAGCACGGTGTAGCACAGCCCTATGCCCGTGGAGACTAGTCGTGCTGTACAGCCATGTCATAACACCAGGAAATCAGCCGAAACCAACGACCGCAAAGCACAGGCCATTTACTGAGCGTTCAGGCCTGGGGCGCGAGGTGATGTGGTTCACACTCACCTCCATACGTTCCAAGGAAAAGACTCGCCTTGGCGGCAGGTTTGTCCTGCGGCTTCCTCCTTCACGCGCTCGATGAGGGAACGGGTCGTCTTGAAAGCATCCCTGGCTTCAAAGGTGCTGCGGGGACATTGATGTGTGCCCGCTGCAGCAACTGTGTGACCTGAGGCCTAGATGCTCACGACAAGCATGAGCACTTGGTCAAATTCACAGAGACAGACTTCTCGAAGTTCGTTCCACACACAAACGACTCTGTGACCGCAATCGCGAAGCACTTAGCAGCTTAGAAGACGCTTCGCGGCAAAGCCGCTTTCGAGAAGTTGGAACACCTTAACGTGCGTTTGATCCCAAAAAACAAGGCCGGAGGCCATATGCCCGTGAAGCCGTGAAAATCCCGTCTGGCCGTGTCTGCCCCAAGAAGCCGTGAAAGGCCGTGAAAATCCCAGAGGCAAGGGACTTTGTCTTGCTCGTTGGTTTTGCTGCGTTTGCGTGCGTTTGCGTGCGTTTGCGTGCGTGCGTGCGTGCGCGTGCGTGCGTGCGCGCGCGCGTGCGTGCGTGCGTGCGTGTGTGTGTCTCTGTGCGCGTGCGTGCGCGTGTGTTTGTGTGTGGGTGGGTGTGGGTGTGTGTGGGTGTGTGTGTGTGCGTCTGTGCGTGTGTGTGTGTGTTTCGTGCGTTTGTTCGCGCGTGTGTGTGTGTGTGTGTTGCCGGCCGCATGTTTCGTGCGCAAGGGGCCTGCCGTTTCTTGCTTGGTTTGTTTCGTTTGGGCTACTTGTGTTACTGCAGTCTGTTCTCTCGTTTTCGTGCTTTTTGTGTATTAGTTGTGTGTGTGTATGTCCTTCATCTAGTCTTTTTTGGGCGCCCATCTCCGCAGCGAGCATGGCTGCTTGCGCAACTGCTCGCTTGCTTGCTCGTTCGTGTGCGTGTGGCTGCAGTCTGTTCGTGCGTTGATTTGTTTGTTTGTTTGTTCTTTCTGGTTAGTACTCCTGTGACTTTATTTGGATTGTGTTGCTTGTGTTTGGCTTTCTGCGGTTGTTTCCCGCTTTCTTTCTTTATTGCTTTCGTCTTTTCTTTTCTTCTCCTTTCTTCTGTTCTTTGTTTTATTGCTTGTTTGCTCTCTTATTTGCATGATTTTCTTTTTTTGTTTGTCCGGGAGCCTTTGTTTGAAGTGATTGGCGTCTAAAATGTTGCACGCGGGCCGTGAACTATCACGGCGAGTGTTTGCTTGTAGCGCAACAGCCCCAAATTTGAATTGGGAAGAGGGC